TTCACATTAGCCAACATTACTATCCAGATTAATCGTCCTAACATCAAAAGTTTTTTTGGCTTTGGTAAGAGATTTATTAGATCAAGAACACCTCTTATCTAGAATCAACTTATGCCCATAACATCCTGCACCAACTGAGGACCCGGTTGACCATAATGATAAAAATTCATAAGTTTATCTAAATAGTAGTCCATAATGATAAACATTCTAAACTGTCACTCATCTAACAAAACAACTCAATTACTCTGATTTAAATCTGAATCCCACTCATACTCTCTAAATACTAAATTCTCAATCCAAATCACTAAACTCAAACCTAAATATAAAGTATAATATATTTTCAAAATTTTTAACTGATGAGATTATACAAAAAAAAATTCTTATGAGAATCTCTTTTAATAAAATGTTGTAGTAATATTTTTCAAGAAAAAATAACAGAGGAGATGAGCTGTGAGAAGGACCCACACCACTCATGTGACCCTCCTTCATGTCTTCACCAGCTCCTGCCTCTCAATCATTAGCTTCCCCTTCCTCTTCCTCTTCCTCCTCTGAATGTGTTTCAGTGAGTCATAGACTGCTAAGCTAAACCACCTCTCTCTTCCTTCTCCTTCCAAGAATCAACCCAATAACTATGCAACAGGAACCGGCACGATTCCAGCGAGCTTCTCCACCACCTCAACATGCACTATGTCCTCATCTCTAGACCATTCCTCGCCGTTTATACTCGGAAAACGCGTGAGAGACGGCGAGGACTCTGGAGATGCTAAACCTGGTGGGTTTTGGGCAGTGCCGTCGACGCAAGAGTTCGGACATGTTTGGAGCTTTGCTGCTGGAGCTCAGCGAGAGTTGTTCTTACAACAACAGGAAGTAGCTGCACGTTTTGTTCACCAGCAGCGACAGCAACAAGGTGCAATGGGTGAAGCTTCGGCAGCTAGAGTTGGGAACTATCTTCCGAGTCATCTTAATTTGCTTGCTTCTTTATCTGGTGGAGCTCCCGGGACGGGTCGGAGAGAGGAGGAGACACGTTGATGATGAAGTTGAGCTCAATTTTAGTTTGGTATATAGTATTATATCTATGTTTCTCTACTATATATCATCGAGTGGCTTCTCTCTCTATGTGTGTGTTTCAGGCTTTAGAGTTTGATTGATTAATTCCAGGAGTGATGTGAGAGTATCATTAGTGTTTAAGTTAAAAGTTAAAACTAGGGTTAGGTTTAAGAATCTTGTCTTAAAGATTTGTTTCATGAAGTTTTTGTTTTTGTGGGAGATCAAGACATAGTACATCATTTAGGGTAATATAAAGATTTGTGTGTTGTTGTTGCTAATTGTGTAATGTGTAACAACAATTGTGGTGAGGCGTAAGCTGATAACCACGTGTGTTTTTAATAAAAATGTTACATACTTAATTACGTATATGTTTGATTTTTAGTTTACTGATAGACAACATCTTTGTAATTGTACGTGAGTGTGATTGTGTTGCTGAACTTGAACTGGAGGAAGCATTGTGTTTCGACTCTGGATTTGAATGAGAGAGCAGATGATTAAGTGCAAGGACAAACTAGCTGCGTCATCTGTCTAAACTCTTCAACTTGTATTGCCTTCTTGTTTCATAGAAATTTTAGGTCATGGGTTTTGAAGCTAGGTTTGTCACGTTAGTTAGATAATGTTTATTTTTTGTAACATAAAGTTTTTGTTTTAATGTTGGAAGTTGAAACCATAAAGCGACAGAACATTTTTTTAATAAGTTATTAAGTTTACTTTTTTTTATTGAACAGAGTACTTATAAGTTCTTAAAAAATTGAAAGACACAAAAGTTAGAATGTCTCCTGATACATAATCAACATTTCTAAGTATAACACCTGTGTTTATATGAGTTGCAAGCTAATTAAGCACACTTGATTGAGTTCAATATATAGTTCATAAATTGCCAATGAATCAGCATAAGAAAATTCGCTATTGTAATGTAACTCTTGGCGAAGGACAGATAAACAGTTATAACCCTCTGCTGAGTGTATTAAAACTAACAATTTCATTGATCACAAGGTCTATTTTGAAGATGACTATCAAAGTAAGTAGATGGGTTTTTGTTGACAAAACAATATAATTAGATAAGATTAATTAGGTGGCGCTAACTATAGGTCGGCACATCGCTCATGATAATAATACATAGTATATATATTACATTAATTAATATGTAGATATAGTGCATTGTGGACCGACACACACGTAGTTAAATAGCCTCTCACTCACCTCTCTATACGTCTCTACTGTGCCCATAATAAGTGCACAAAAATTCATGCTACTAGATATTTTATTAAAATATTTAAAATATAAAACGTATAGTATTATAATGAAACATCAAAATAACTAATAAATTAGTTTAAATAGAAAATTTCCTTCGACGAATGATTGTTTCTAATATAAGAAAGAAAAACATGAGTATTATGAAATCGTATTGATAATTAATTTATAAGTGATTGTTGTATTTGTTATATCAAACGAATATTACAAAATATAGTAAATAAAATTGTAATAAAAAGGTTTTAAATTATAAATGATTATAGAATATATATATATATATATATATATATATATGATTTTTAATAGTTTATAATCTATATTTTAGAAGAAAAAAAATATTCTAACTTCGTCACAACAAATTTCTATTCTCATCAAACAAATTATTGTTTCCCACTAGGGTAGATCCATGATATATATATAAAAAAAAGAAATGACTACACTTCCACTTGGGTTGAAAGAGGCAGTCTCATACATGAAGAATGGTGACAATATTTGGGGAATCTGGTTGCAACTGAAACTCTCTGTCTCAAGGTTGAACTCAATCAGTATGCATAGATTCTGTTATCTTTTATGCATCTAGATTATCGCTAGTATATGTGGAATCTCACAAGTAACCTCTATCCAATGATAGTCTCTACCTAAGATTTTGAATTGAGAAGTGCTGGAGCAAAACCCAATGAAAGTTTTTGTGTCGACCATTTGAAAAAATATTAGGAGAGAAACAAAAAGTCGATTAGAAGAATTGAAGACCAAACATTCTTTGTTATTGTCAGAGTAAACCATACCATTTGAGTAGTTACTAAAAATCACTATATAGATATATACTCAAACTTTTTAATTATATGAACAGTTATGCAATCGCACACATTAAAAATATAATATTATATCCATTAAAAATAATGTTATGGTCGAGTATGTTTCTTTTTAGTAATTTACCTTGCGGTTAGATGAACAGAAAGTGCACTAATAGCTTAAAAAAACACAAAATTTACAAAGAAACCAAAATCTTATCCTCTCTCTTATTTCCTCTTCATTTTTAACAACTCTTTTATTTATATAAAACATATAATTACAACAAAAGTATAGAAAATACTTAAAATACACCCAAATGCGAAATTAAAATTAGAAAGCAATACAACACATATATTAAGATCCAAAGAAGCATTCTTCTGGACCATTTTTCTTGGCAACATGCATGATTTCGGTTATGTTTCTCATAATGTGATATTTCTATTTGGCTATCATCTTTTCGATGAAACTTCAAACTCTTTTTTTTGCAATTTTTTGTTGTATAACATTGACCAGATTCCGTTTAAAATCTATAGACTCCTTGATAAAGAATCCAATTTATTGATTCTCCCCAACGAAATAGTAAATGAAATTATCAATTTTCAACGATTATAAAAACATTATCCTACAATTAAAAGTTTGCATCTCCAGTGCAGAACCGATAAATATATTGAATTCTAATCTTCAAAAACTTCAAATACCTTGGCGGTTGCATCACACCAAATCCCAGATTTGGCTTTGAACTCCTTTCATCTCAATGACGATAACACACCAATGTGGTTTCCATCGCAATTGTTTCCAAATCAAAGCGGTTTTGATGAGTTCATGACCACTTGATTTGGAATTCAACACACTTAGTTTGATTGTGTTGTCATCGATTATAACCGTAAAAGCTATGTCGGAGATTACAAAAATTAATTAGAAGAAAGACAAAATAACTTTAATTTATTGAGTTAGTTACTATTGTATCCTCTTTTTTCTCTTTCTATCTCTCTCTAACTTTTTTTCTAAAAAAAAAACTAATTTAATTTTTTTTCTTAGTTATTTCACAAATTGTCTCTTAAATGAAAACTGTAACAAACTATGGCGCCAAAAACAAAGCATACCAAACCGATTTAAATGGGCCTTAGTATGGTCTTAATGGGTCAGGCTTCATCTCTGACACTAACTCCGCCTAATGAGCCAGACTTCATCTCCGAAGCTGAGAAGTTGCTTTTGGCCCAGAACTCTCGACAGTCTCTCGCTTCGACCTCAAGGTAAGAAGATGCTTGTGCCACTCACTTGATGAAGCTGATAAGGTGTGCTTGTTGATATAGGCACTGGTTACTTCATCGAGGTAACATAACAAATTGATTAGAATGTGATTAAGAGTCATTTAGTCTCGTTAATATGTAGCTTAAGTATTTAATATGTGTGTGTTTTGTAGAAAACAATGGAGGATGGTAAAGATTATTTCCAGAGGAAGATTAGCTTGTTGAAATCTAACTATGAACAACTTTTTGCGGTATGTCTTTGGTGGATACACATACATATATATATATATGAAGTATTAGTTTAGTATCAATGAAGATGTTGTCCAATGTCAACATGCAGAAATTAGGTAAAGCTTAAATCAGATGGGTCCATGAGTTTCTCCTCTTCTGGATAAACTTTGATGCAATTTAATACTGATGAGAAAGGTGGAAGAAGAAGAATAAGCATCACAAGTAGGAAGAAAGGCAACAAGTCTCTATCTCTCTGTCGTTGACTTTGGTTGGTAAAGTGTCTCTCACTGATAAAGACACATCTCCTTGTTACCAACTGTTTAAAATTCCTGAATTGCCCTTTGCGTCATCTTCACAAAACCTTTGTTTGCTTTCCTGCCACCACACGATTCCTAAGTCTCATTTTAAGAGCAAGAGAGGAGGAGGAAAGAATAGAGCAGATGATCATGGCTTCAATCTGCATTAATGATGCTTTAACAGACGACGAGCTGAGATGTGTATTATCCAAGCTAGACAGAGACAAGGACAAGGAAGTGTTTAGTCTTGTCTGCAAGAGGTGGCTATATCTGCAGAGTACAGACAGGAAAAAGCTGGCGGCACGTGCTGGTCCTCACATGCTTGGCCGTCTCGCCTTCAGGTTCACTCAAATCGTGGAACTGGACTTCTCTCAGTCAACCTCTAGGTCGTTTTATCCAGGTGTCACTGATTCTGACCTCACTGTTATAGCCGAGGGGTTCAAGTGTCTCAGAGTTCTCAATCTGCATAACTGTAAAGGTTATGTTCTTTCTTGAATTGAATAGACTAAAGTATATGTGTTAGATTTGATATCTAATGTTTAAATTTTTGTTTACTTCAGATATGAATTAATAAGGTTTTTGTGTTTGAATTCTTCTTTAGGTCATTGTATTGTTACTTTAGTACCAGATGTTCAGTCTGAATATCCTAGGGTCTGTAATAGGTTATTTGTTTTCACAATAAGACCTTTCTATTAAGAAATTAGATAAAGCTTATATATGTTGTCATGATGGTGGAAGACTAGGCCTGCAGATTCGGTTACTTTGAGTATTTTAGGTTGGTTAACTCAAAATTTGGTTTGTTCGGTTTGGCTTGAATCTCAGCCGAGTTGAACCGAAAAATTGGTTCGATTCAGGTTTCAGTTAGTACAGTTTCAAAAAATTCTACCAAAGTTTTGGTTTTTCGATCGGTTTATAGTGGTTAAAAATTTAGAAAAAAACATCGGTTAAGTTCAGTTATTTCGGTTTGGATTAGTTAGTTTGGTTCAAAATTTTGGTTAATATCGGTACAGTTACATTAAAAAAATTATTTGTTTTAGAAAACCGAACCAAAAACCAAATTATTTTAATTTTCGAATCAACCCTCTAACTGAACAGAACCAAAATCCGAACATTTTGGTTCAGTTCGGTTGGGCAGGTTTGGTTCGGTTAACAACCGCCTAGGTCGAACAATCTTAAACACAGAGTTTTCTTACTATTTGTATCTTTCTGTTTAATGATTTTTTTACTTCTTTGAAACAGGTATTACAGACACTGGGTTAGCCTCAATTGGAAGATCTCTTTCCTTACTGCAGTTTCTAGATGTATCATACTGCAGAAAGCTCTCAGACAAAGGTGTCTCAGCTGTCACACAAGGCTGCCCTGACCTAAGAACATTGCACTTATCTAATTGCCGTCTCATCACCAACGAGTCTCTAAAATCACTCTCTGATCAATGCCGTGACTTAGAAGCTATCGTACTTCAAAGCTGCAACAATATCACTGATTCAGGCCTTTCTGATCTTGTGAAAGGATGCAGAAAGATAAAAACATTAGATATCAATAAATGTAGTAACGTAGGAGATGCTGGTGTCTCCTGTGTAGCTAAAGCTTGTGCTTATTTCCTCAAGACACTAAAATTGCTGGACTGTTACAAAGTTGGGAACGGATCTATAACGTCTCTTGCTCAGTTTTGCAAGAATCTAGAGACTTTGATCATCGGTGGATGCAGAGATATCTCTGATGAATCTATGATATTACTGGTGGATTCTTGTAAAGACAGTCTCAAGAATTTGAGGATGGATTGGTGTTTGAATATATCTGACTCTTCACTTACTTGTATTCTGAAGCAGTGCAAGAACTTGGAGGTTCTTGATATTGGTTGTTGTGAAGAGGTTACAGACAATGCTTTCTTGGATTTGGGGAGTGGTGATGTTTTGGGATTAAAGGTTTTAAAAGTGAGTAACTGTCCAAAGATCACAGTGAAAGGGATAGGCAAGATTTTGGAAAAATGTAACTCCTTGGAGTATATAGATGTAAGGTCTCTTCCACATGTGACAGAGGTAAGATGTAGTGAGGCTGGCCTTGAGTTTCCTAAATGTTGTAAAGTTAACTTCTCTGGAAGTTTAACCGAACCAGATGGATACTCTGGTCTGCCCTAAACCCTTACTAATCTCTCTGTATATCTCTCTCTCTTTCTCTCTGTGTGTCTTGTGTATGAGTGTGATCATGCATGGCTTATGGTCTCTTATGCATGAGTGTGTTTGTCTTAAAGCTTTTGTTTTGAAGATTGATCCTACGGATCTCAAGAGTTTCTAAAATGTATCTGAGATCAAGATTATGAAATGGTCTTATATATTCATTTCATTATATTTGAAGCATCTCATATCACTTCTTTGGTCATGTATTGATGCAAAAGTGAACTGTGAAATAAGGAAAAGATATGAGATTAATTAGCTAAATATATTCAATTTCTTGCTCTTGTCAACAAAAGTATTAAAGCTAAAAAAAAAGGNTAAAATGTATCTGAGATCAAGATTATGAAATGGTCTTATATATTCATTTCATTATATTTGAAGCATCTCATATCACTTCTTTGGTCATGTATTGATGCAAAAGTGAACTGTGAAATAAGGAAAAGATATGAGATTAATTAGCTAAATATATTCAATTTCTTGCTCTTGTCAACAAAAGTATTAAAGCTAAAAAAAAAGGAGTTTGTACAATATTGTCTAACTTTTCTAGGCTCTCTTCTTGCTATTGCTCCAAGCTCAGAGAAAGGGCTTGCGCTAGACAGTTGAAAGCTTTCTTGTAGCTCAAGAAACCCATGAACCAGAACTCAAAGCCATCCACCGTGACTACTTCTAGGTACTTTTGAGATGGCTTCTTCGTATTCACACTCTCATTCACTCCATTGATCTTGCACAATGGGATTGATACTTTGTAGTGAACCCTAACGTTATCTCCCTGAGGAGAAGCCGCTTTGATCGATCTCTCGCTGCAGAAAGCAATCTTCTTTGATGAGATGAAGAGTAAGCCTGCCATGGGACCTGCGGTTGTGGATAGGTAACATTGGTAAGCTTTGAGGAGTTTCTCTTCTTCATGGACTCTAAAGAGCCGTTTATAAATCTTCTCTAAGCCTCCCATTTGAATGATCTTAGCTCCTAAAGATAGCTTTCTCTTGACTGTTTCTGTCAGCTTGGGAGCTAGCTTGCTCTGATCTCTCGCGTTGTTTGTGAAGCTTTCGGTTTTCTTCTTGATTTGTTTAGATTTCTTGGAAGAAGTTGAGATTTTGAGCTTGTTGTTGGAAGCTGGATCAGGCAAGTAACCTGATGGAAGAGTCTTGACTGGTGGGAGTGCAAGAACTTGTTGGTGGAGTGTGTTCATTGTCATCTTGAAGGATTGAGTAGTGATCTTGATCTTGATTCTTAATCTTGATCTGAGAGAGAGAGAGGGGGAGATTATGAGTGATGGGTGATGATGAAACCGTGTGGTGGGAAGGTTATTTAAAGGGAGAGACAAATAGACAAGATAAGGCAGTTGAAGACTTGAGACTTTTGTGGTAAGGGATGAGTCATGGATGGGTCATCGAAGACACACATAAAGCCACTTTCTTGGAGGTAAAGGTAATGAGAAGATCAAGAAAAATAAGTACTCCTGTTTTTTTATTTTAACTGTCGTTTTAGATTTTTGCACACAGATTAAGAAAACATTTAATTTACATATTTTCAAAATAAAAACACAATTACGTATACACCTAACCACATTTCAACCAATAGAAAATAGAAAAATATATAAAAGTTAATAAATTCTACATCAAAACAATAAAACGACACGTAAACTGAAACAGATGGAGTATATAGTTAAAGTAGATCCATAAATAAATAAAGTTTTTTCAGCTACTAAATTCATCTAGGGCCACAATGTGTAAAGTAATTAATCTCTAAGAACTGATGAAATGTTTTTAGTTTTTTTTTTTTTTCCAAATAACAGAATAACTTCGTAATTAGGAGAGCAATTTAATTTCTACTTAAGATATTGAAGTTTAGAAGACGGCATACGAATTGATTATCCATTTATCATCTTCAAACATCCGATAAGCTTTTTTTTTCCGACTAAAATACTTTAATTCAAATCATTGTTTACAATTGTTTCAAGAAACAGAGGGCAGATATGGAACAAACTCCAATGATCTTCCAATATTAGAATTCTCCTAGCTAATAAATCAGCAGCACAATTATTTGTTCTTAATGTATGAACAAATTTACAGTTTAAAAACATCCGATAAGCTTTAAGCTTTGATATTAGGGATGCAGAAAAAGTGAAAAAAAAAGTTAAAAAAAAAAAAAGATGATCCATGGACTGACGTTTCCATATAAGCTTTTTTGCCTACAAGTTGGAGAAAAATATAGCGCAGAAACTTTACGTAAAATATGTAATATTACGTAACACTTTTTGGATAGGTGAGAGCAAATTGAGCCATGCAGAAGGGGACGTCGTGGATTTGAACCTTTATGTGTTGGCATCGCGACTTTCTGATGCCATTATCTCTTTATTGTCATGCTACGATAAGAAAGATCGGTTATAGTTACTTTATTTCAATATTTAAAAGAAATAAAGAATCAAGAATTGACAAAAAGAAAGAAATTAGTTATATAAAAGACACAAAAAGAAGATCCATTTGTATTGGATCCCACCATATAATATACATGCTACTTCATCAATTCGTCACCCTTTTTGCTGAAGAGGAAGTCGCAAGATCAGCTTGGTTATTCTTGTCCGCTGCAGAAGAATCTTTTTTCAGGCAGAAATCGAGAATTCGATGGTTATCTGAGGGAGATTCTAATACAGGAGTATTCCACAAGTCAGTAAAAGCAAACCTTCGAAGGAATATTATTCACTACCTCTATGATGCTGCTGGCAATAAGGTTTATGATCCGGATATTCTTAAAGACTTAGTGGTGCAGTTCTATTTTGATCTCCTTGGTGAAGAAAATGAGAATGTGATCCCTCTGACCGTAGAAGAGATTCGGCAACTTCACCCGTTCAGGTGTGGTACCGAGCTTGGGGAAAAGATGGCAGCCATCCCATCTGATGCTGAGATCCGGGATACTCTTTTTTCCCTCCCCAAAAATAAGGCGCCGGGACCGGATGGGTTCACGGTTGAATTCTTCTCCTCATCTTGGGATTTGGTTGGACCCGATGTGGTTAAAGCTGTCAGGGCCTTCTTCATCACATCTGAGCTTCCTCGACAAGTGAATTCCACTGTAATCTCTCTCATACCGAAGGTTCCAGGGGCAGATAAGTTGACAGATTTTCGCCCTATTTCTTTGTGCAATACTGTTTACAAAGTCATATCTAAGATTATTGCTTCTCGGCTTCAGGCTTTAACCCCTTTAGCTATTCAAAGGAACCAAGTCGGCTTTGTTAAGGGGAGGAACCTTTGTGAAAATGTTTTATTAGCATCTGAACTTGTATCAGATTTTAACAAGGAGGGTATAGTGACCAGAGGTTGTCTACAAATAGACATTTCAAAAGCTTATGATAATGTAGATTGGAGATTTTTACAGAATATTTTGGATGCTTTTGAGCTCCCTGCGATGTTGAAAAATTGGATTAGGGTCTGCATTTCTTCTCCTCATTATTCGGTGGCTTTAAATGGGGAATTGATTGGTTTCTTTCCAGGGAAAAAAGGTCTTCGACAAGGAGATCCAATCTCCTCATCGCTTTTTGTGATTGTTATGGACATCCTTTCCAAACAGCTAGACCAAGCAGCTTTGTCACACCTATTTGCTCCTCACCCGAAGGCTCTTGACCCTTTGGTAACCCACTTGAGTTTTGCGGACGATATGCTCATTTTCTTTAATGGTGAAGAGGGTTCTTTACAGACTATATTGGAAATTCTAAACAGATTCTACCAGGTTTCGGGATTGGGATTGAACTTGAGAAAGTCGTCTTTGTTCCTGGACGGAGGAAATGCTGTCATTTTAAAAGAGCTTGCAGACAAGTTTGGTCTCTCCTCAGGGTCTTTCCCTGTTAAGTATTTGGGGCTGCCTCTTATTCCCAAAAGAATGAAGAGAGAAGATTATCAACCTCTTGTGGATAAGGTTCTTAGTAGGATCTCGTCATGGACTAACAGACATCTTTCCTTTGCTGGCAGGTTGCAACTTATTCAGTCAGTCCTTTATAGTATCTTCAATTTTTGGGCTGCTGTTTTTCCTCTACCTAAAGGCTGCATCGATTGTCTTGAGAAAATCTGCAATGCCTTCTTATGGAGTGGTCAGGGAATCTCTGCAAAAAACGCTAAAGTATCTTGGGAGTCAGTGTGTACTCCAAAAAAGGCAGGGGGTTTGGGGCTAAGAAGGTTGGGAGATGCAAATCTGATCTTCACTCTTAAGCTTATATGGTTGTTGTTTGCAGGAACGGGTTCACTTTGGGTTGCTTGGATCAAGGCAAATGTTATAGCTGATCGGCCGTTTTGGGAGGCTGATTTCTCAAACTCAGGATCCTCGCTATGGAGATGTATTATCAAAGCTCGAGATGTTGCTAGACCTTTCTTGACCTGTCAAGTTCGCTCGGGAACCTCAGCTTTGTTTTGGCACGACAATTGGACCGGACTTGGTCCTTTAATTCATATCACAGGACCCACCGGACCTCGTATCTCGGGTTTAGACTCTATGGTCACTGTGAGTCAAGCTGTATCTAGGGGAGCTTGGTCCTTACCAAGAGGTCGGCATCCTACCGTTCTTATGCTAAAGGCGTGTCTTCCTTCTCTTCCTACTGAGCTTCATACCTCACATCCGGATGTCTTCTTATGGCGTAATTTGCCTGATTCCCCTTCAGCAATATTCTCTTCGTCTCTGACTTGGGATTCAATTCATCCTGATCCTCCGCCGGTAGTCTGGTACTCTTCTGTTTGGTTTCAGGGTAACATCCCTAAGCATTCCTTTATCACTTGGGTTTCTGCTCGGAATAGGCTTCCTACTCGTGATAGGTTGATTAGTTGGGGGTTGAATGTTACTCCTTTGTGCCCACTTTGTGATTCTTCTGATGAAACAAGGAATCATTTATTCTTCCGATGCTCGTACTCGTTGGAGTTATGGAATAAGATTTTCCTTACAACCTCAGTGGTGCCCCCAACGGATATTGATGCATGTCTGTTATGGCTCAGGTCATCCTCTTCAAACAGGAAGCTCAAGGTTATCTGTAAACTCATTTTCCAAGCGGCAATATATATCTTGTGGAAAGAAAGAAATTCTCGTATTCATGCTTCATCTCCTCGCCCAGTTATTTCTTTGTTCAAAGAATTCCAAGTCATT